TTTTTTCTATATATTTTTAGTTGGCCGATTAATTTCTTTCTAATTTTTTTTTTTTAGTAGAGGCGGGGTCTCACTCTGTCACCGGGACTAGGGTTCTTGGACTATATTACTAAAAATGCAATTTTGGAGATCCATATAATTAACCTGGACATAAAAAACTACCCTCAGTGATCAAGCACTAGGTATAAAATGTAGTGTCACCACTACAGCAAGACTTGCTTTTTAGTTATTATGTATCCCACAACTTCTGAGTAAATTATTCAAGTCATGTCTTATTTTATAATATGTAAATTAAAACCATTCTAATGCATCTATATTAAAACTTTAAAAGTTAACAGCTGATCTATTAAACTAGCAATTCTACTGCTATGAATTTATCCTACATTTTCTAGAAAACACCAAAATATGTACACACAAGGCTATTCACCACAGTATTGTCCAAAATAGCTAAAAATGAGAAACTATCTAAATGTCAATCAATACGGGACAATTTAAGTCATTTATGAACTATCAATATAATGAAATTCTCTGTATCCTTTAAAAAGATGAACCTCTAAGTGCTGATAACATAAAATATCCAAGATATACAACGAATATTTTCCCTTTTATGCATAATAAAAAAGAAATATCTGGCCGGGCGCGGTGGCTCACGCCTGTAATCCTAGCTCTCTGGGAGGCCGAGGCGGGTGGATCGTTCAAGGTCAGGAGTTCGAGACCAGCCTGAGCAAGAGCGAAGACCCCGTCTCTACTAAAAATAGAAAGAAATTATCTGGACAACTAAAAATACATATATAGAAAAGATTAGCCAGGTATGGTGGCACATGCCTATAGTCCCAGCTACTCAGGAGGCTGAGGCAGGAGGATGGCTTGAGCCCAGGAGTTTGAGGTTGCTGTGAGCTAGGATGACGCCACGGCACTCTAGCCCAGGCAACACAGTGAGACTCTGTCTCAAAAAAAAAAAAAAAAACAAAACATCAAAGCTGAGAAATCAATAAACAATAGCTATACTTCGGCTGAAATCTTAAATTCAAAAATAAAGTTAGGAACAATTGTTAAGGAGAATATTCTCTCTTGCTTGAAAACTGATATTTTTCTCTCATTTTGCAACATGCTCATATAGCAGTAACCAAATCAACACTATTTAAGTGCCAAAACATAAAATTTTTCCCCTTAATCTATTATCACCTATTATCAGCTTTGTGTATTAAACGCAATCTTCTTTCCTCCCCAGGGAATCCCAGAGCAGAGCCAGGAGGGATCAAGGGTACCCTCCTCCTAAGCTAAGCCCAGATGGCTAAATGCACTAGAGAACCTTCAAACTACCTTCTAAACCCAAAAATCTCAATTTTTTACTAGCAAAGCAAAATTCTGGGTATTTACACACTGATATTTGGATACAAGTATTTATATCTATCACACGTGTATTAGATTATATTCCAGACTTAAACATGGTTTTAGAAGTACTAGGCCTCCTCCGATAACAAGTTCGAGAGACTACAGATGCTCCTTGATTTACATGGGGTTATGTTTTGATAAACCCATCGTAAATTGAAAATATCTTATGTTGAAAATGCATTTAATACACCTAACCAACTGAACATCACAGCTTAGCCTAGCCTACCTTAAACACGTTCACAACACTTGCATTAGAGTACAGCTGGGCAAAATTATCTAACACAGTGCCTATTTAGTAATAAAATGTTGACTTCCCCATGTAATTTATTAAACGCAGTACATTGTAGAATATTGGTTGTTCATCCTCATGATCATGTGGCTGGCTGAACTGTGACTCATTGCCGCCGGCCAGCAACACACGAGAATATTGTGCGGCATATCACCAGCCCAGGAAAAGATCAAAATTCAAAGTATGGTTTCTACTGAACGCATATTGCTTTAGCACCATGGTAAAGTCGTTAAGTTGAACAATCCTAAGTCAGCTCCTGTCTGTATTTCAAGTCCCTAAGCCTAAACCATTCTAACAAAAAGTGAAGAGATTTTCCCATTTTACTGATGGGAACACCGTGAGCTGAAAAAAAAAAAAAAAGAAAGAAAAATCAAATGACTCAAAACATACATATGTTTCACATCCATTATAGCAGCCACAGTTCCTTTCGGTCTAAGCACTGTTAAACACCTGATACTTGTGCACTGCTCTGCATTTTACCAGTCATCGGGTGTACTACATCAAGCCAAGGCACCAGTTTCCACATAAACCAACACAACATGATCTCTAGCCAGGCAGGTGTGAGCAACTGTCAGGAAGAATGAAGACTTTACCTTGAGAACTCTGGCTTAGCCTGGCTGAGGAGCGGGTGACTCGAGCAGATCGTCGGGATGTGCCATCGCTCTCTGAACTGTCTGTGTGCTCAAGATCTGTAGAAAAATCGGAATCTTCGGTTCCATCTGAACTACTGCCTGCATTCCTCTGTAATACCATAGATCCAGACATTAGCGTGGAAGCATTTACTCTGTGTGTTTTCATTAACACTGGAAACAAAACAAACTGTGATGCTAGTAACACCAAGTTCTCACCTAAGAAAGGATTCCACAAGCATTTCCCCTCCCCACCTAGAGCCAACTTCCCTTTATTTAGGACACTTAAATGGAACAACCTACAAGTAAGGCAACTTTGTTAAATAAATGAAGAAAATTCTTACTATATTATCACTAAGTCTGAACCAAGTTCACTTAGAGATTATTACCAAAAACTGGAAATAAAAGTACCCAACTCAAAATGATCTGGCTGACATAATTATGCCAAAAATAAATAAATAAATAAATAAAAGCCCAAGGTAGTAAGAAAAATGTTGGTGCTAGGCCCCATTTAACTTTAGGGAAGCTTTTGTACTAAGTTTCCATGAACAGCTATCACATCTTAAAAGAAACATGCACTATTTCAAAATATTATGGTCCACAACTCCAATCCCAAAAAAACGTAAGCGGAAAAAGATAAAAATTCTTTTTCTTATGCCATCTATCTGAAGTTTCTCCACATGAATAACTAAAGTGCTAAAAAAGGAAGCATGCACATGAAGACTCATGGGTATCCAAAAACAATTTTTTTCAAAATTATCTTTTCAATTAATATTTATCAATTATTAGCCTCCTGAGGAATGATTAGTCACAAAGGTAACTCTTATCAATTGAGCCTTAACACTATACCCTTTACTAAGCCAGAAAGGGAAGAGTACAAAGCTTCAAACTACCGATCCTTTATTTAAAACCGTAGGGCCAGTCATGTTTGGAATTCATAATTTTTTTAGACTTTTAATAAACGAATACTTTGCATATAGCCTGCAAATAACACCCCATAATCAAGCACAGCAATATTTCTGCAGCAAGATATAATGACACACACAAAAACCATAAGTAGCTTCAAGACATTTTACAACAGGTTTGCCACCAAACGAGTTACTAAAAAACTTAACGTTTTTGAGAACTCTTTGTATTTGGGAAATGGAGAAAGGGGATGGCGGACCTATTCCAAGGTACCACTATTATTTCTGCATTTGGTGATCTTAAAATAAATACTACCTACCAACTTACATCATTTTAGGAGACATTAAAAAGCATAAATTTTTGGCCGGGCGCGGTGGTTCACGCCTGTAATCCTAGCACTCTGGGAGGCCGAGGCAGGCGGATTGTTTGAGCTCAGGAGTTTGAGACCAGCCTGAGCAAGAGCGAGACCCCGTCTCTACTAAAAATAGAAAGAAATTAATCGGACAACTAAAACTATATAGAAAAAATTGGCCGGGCATGGTAGCACATGCCTGTAGTCCCAGCTACTTGGGAGGCTGAGGCAGTAGGATCACTTGAGCTCAGGAGTTTGAGGTTGCTGTGAGCTGACACCATGGCACTCTAGCTGGGGCAACAGAGTGACACTCTGTCTCAAAAAAAAAAAAAAAAAAAAAGCATAAATTTTTAACTTGGAAAGGCTTTGCGAAGAGAAAGATTTCTACAGAAATAAGCAAGAATACCACCCAGATTTCCAAATATCTCAAAGGTAACCTGCCCGGAAATGAGCGGAAGCCCCAGAAAGAGTCACAGAAAATCGCCAGGATGAAGGGGGAATCTTAAAGATCACCACCATAGTCCAATTACCCAGATATTTGAATCCCTGACCTGTGATCATCCTTTCCTGGCTTGACCCTGGGACTCAGCTCTTCTCTTCACCAATCTACCTCCTGTATTACTCCAAAGCAGATTTAATTGCTCTCTCATCTCCCTCCTATAACACTTTGTATATGCCTCTGAGTAAAGAATTTACTAAATCCTTCTACAGTTGTTTACATGTCTGTTTCCCCCCATCAGACTGTGATATCCTAAAGCCAGGGATCATGTCTAATTACTGGATCCCCAGCAACTGCCATGTAGCAAGTAGTCAATAAGCATCTGTTCAATTGAATTAGATTTGTTCTGAGTTGATTCTGATTTGTTCCGTAGTTCGGGCTCTGCCATTGCCTAATTGAGTGGCTTGGGGTCACTAATGATCCTTCATTTGCATAGTTGTAAAAAGAAGAGACGGAGGCATTCCTAAGTGATCTCATAAATCCCCTAATTCTAGAAAGTTTTTGATTTCTACGAACTGCATTTTCTAAGCGCTGTTGAACTAAGCGAATAAGGAAAGATTACGGCTTGGATGCAAAAGGCCTGAGTGTGATCCCCTGGGAGTGGGCGCTGGCTTTCCACCCCCAAGTCCTCTCTTCTGCTTTGTTGTGCCCCCACCTGGAAAGGAAGGCGGCCTCCAAAACTCCGCCTATGCACCTATCAGCATCCCTACACGGAAAGGCGGGGATTCGTGCCGCCCAATCGAGGTCCAGCTAAACCGCGCCCCCGCGGGACAGACTGCCAAACCCGGCCAATCAAGAGAGGAGGGATCGTTCTCTCCAGCCAGTTGGAGAACGATAGGGCCGGGCCCAGACACCGCCCCCGCACGCGGGGAGGTGACCGTTGGGCCCAAATAGGCGGCGTCACCAGCCAATCAATACGCTTCCAGACGCTTCAGCGACCAATTAGCAATAAGAACGCCTCCGATCCAGGCAAGCAGAGGGCGGGAATAGTTGCGAGCATAGGCCGAGGCCAGGGTCGGGCCCACATTTTTCTGTTGGGTACGTATAGAAGAGAGGGTAGCTGAGCTAGGTTCGGGGGAGCGAGAAGTTGGAACCCAAGCGCTGTGAGGCGTGGCCAACTGCGTCACGCTGCTCAATCGACTGTTCTTAGAAACCCGCCGTCCCTCCTTTCCCGTTTCTCACCTTCCTTCGCGGCATTGCCGGCGGCTGCGGCCCGACGGTTCCGATTCGGGCAGCGGCGGCAGCAGCAGCAGGAACGGTGGCTCCGGCGGGCTCCGTGGCGGCCTCTTGTAGCAGTCCCAATCCTGCGGACGATCCCAAGTGCCTCCTGCCTTACAGCGTCTAGAGCGTTCTGCGCAGGCGCCGCGGGCTGAAGCGCTTTTTCCTTCACTTCCGGCTGGGTCTCGCGTCACATGACGTTACGAGCCGGAGAGAGTGCTGGGAGGTTCGCTCCTTTTGGCGAAGCTAGTGGGAGTCATTTTGGAGTTGGGCAGAAAAATGACTCCAATAGTGGCAACTGGGGCCTGCCATTTTTAGTTAGGTGAGTGGCACCCTTTGTGGGCGTGGGTAGCCATTCTTATTTGGGGCAGAAGCCTGACGTCGAAGTAAACGGTTCTCATCTTTACCTTGGGCAAAATTTCCCTTCCTGGTCGTTTTCTTAAGTGGATGAAGGAAACCCCCAGAATCCATCCGGTTGCTAAAATTTAACCCCTCCGTTGCTTTATTGACTAAAAGACGTTTTCGTTTATCATATAAACTCAAAGTTGGGAAGGGATATTTTGCACAAGAAACTTTGTTAAGAGCCATCTTGTGTCTCAGGGAAGGGGGAATGGGAGCTTGAAAAAGGAACGAAACGGTAGTGTCCGTCCTCAGGAAGTTTCCTATTAGAGGAGACATTGTCCTTGCCTTTAGCGAACAGCAAGTAAGTTTGTCGTTCACGTAGCGGGAGGGGGCAAAACCATTTTCCAGAAGCTGTAGCTCCAAAGAATTCCCAATTTAGCTCTGCGGTGAGCGCCCACTTCCTTTCCCCACTGTGTTTGGGTTTGAGATCACTGGGTGGCCGGGGGTGAAAAATGTGACTTTGGATGTGGGGATGCTGTTCCAGAGAACCCCATTTAGCCCACATGACCTCCAGATGTATGAGTCAAGAGTTTGGGGAGGGAGGAAGAGAAAGGAATGTTTTTAGTGAGGCTGGAGCCCAAAAAAGAATGAATATTTAAATAATAATGAGAAGGCCTAGGAAGGAGAAGTTGGTGCAAGAGTCATAAGAAAAGGCTGGAAAATGGAGAACAAGGTGTTGAGAATTTAACCCCCCTGGAGGAAAAGTCTTGAGAAGACCAAGTATTGGCCTAGAGCCTGGGTGGAATCCAGGCAGTCTAAGTCATTAAGTTGGGATCCTGGACCCCAATTTCAACCTGTGACCAATTAAGATGGAGATTTCCCTCTAGGAGCAGGGCTAAAGAACAAAGCAGCAAAAGGTAAACATGTGATTCGTGTGCTAAACAGAGAACTGGGAAGAGTTAAAGTTCCCGGCACTCTCCTTGGGCATATCCTGGGCCAGTGTTGACACAGACAGCTTTTAATACTTAATATTTAGCTTTTAGTGCTTAGTATAAACACTTTTGATAACCTATTAATACTTAGGTTGAACTGCACATAAGAACCTATTTGACAGTGGCTCACATTTCTTCTTTCTTTGTATCCCCTCAGCACTTAAGCATTTAATTTCACACTATTACTCTGTTATTTTGCACTTACTGGTATGTTCCTGAGGTCACTCTTGTTATGTTCTGGATCCCTGACTGGTGGTAAGGATCTCTTATATTACTGAGAGCACATCTCAATTCTTTCATACCATCCTTTCTAATAGTGCCCAGACCTTGTTCTACCCACAGTAAATGGCTCGCTAGTCACTAAGAATATCATTAACATTTTACAGTCTCTGGATGTATAGCACTCAGAGATGGTAAAGTATCCCTCCCTGGAAATTAGTATTTTAGAATAAGATCTTATCCTGACCTAACCATCCATCATACAAATAGCAGCATTACAAATGTTCAACGTTAGTTAATCTCTTACACTGGATTCTCTAACACTACAGCTGACATTAAGGAGTTTATAATTTCATTTAGATGTGGTTCTTGTCCTTGGAAAGTGTACACTCTGGCAGAAAGATGAGAAAACTAACACCAGCAGGATAGAAATATGATCATGAGGAAAAAAATGTTTACAGTACTTGATATGGGAGTAGACCAACTAGGTATATTTAGAATGGGGAAGTGGGGAATCTTTTTTTTCTCCCGCAAAGACAGGATCTAGCCTACTATTTTGCTCAGGCTGATCTGGAACTCCTGGGCTCAAGCAGTCCTTCCAACTCAGCCTGGAGTAACTGGGACTACAGGTGTGCCACCATGCCCAGCTGGGAAGGGGTAATCTTAAAAGCTTTTCCCTTTTTCCTTTCTTTTTTTAAACCAAATAAAATCTTTTCTTTGAGGGACATTTTTATCACAACCCAATTAGCTCTCCAAGCAGGAACTGATGTTGGTTTCAAAGCCTTTGACTGGTTGCCCTCCTGCCAATCCAATTCACATAAGCACTCTCCACAGTTCTCCCTGCCTTTATACTTTCTCATGGGCTTACCTTCCTGCCTGGATGCATCTCCCAACCCTCTCTAAAATTTTCTTTCTTTAGAAAATCTTTCCTGTTTTATTCTTTGTAACGTAATAGGGCATAGTAATATATTATCTTACACTTGCTGCTTATTTATACTTTATACTTATTGCTTATTTGTACTCTTATACAATTTGGTAGATGTTCTGTTCCCCAGTCCTCTTCCCAACAGATGATAGGAACATAAATCATATTGGTTTTATTCATCAGCGCTACTAGCGTCCAGTATGGAACTTTGATGTCAGATCTGTATTTGAATCTCAGCTCTATTGCTTTCTACCTGCATTGCTCTTGGACAAGTTTTTTAATTTATCTAGGCCTTCATTTTTCTCATCTGTGAAGTGGGGATATTAATGGCCACCTCACAAGGTTGTTGTAAGGAACAAAGGAGATGAGTGTTATAAAGCACTTCAAATAATTCCTGACATGGAGTAATTGCTCAATGAATGGCTGCTGGTATTTATATTTCTAGTCACCCTAGTCATGGCTACAACACCTAATTCTGTGAATATATCTTTACATGGTCTCAATGTTTGTTTGCTTTTTGTCTGTTCAGCCTCACTCTAACTGAAACGATACAGAATGACTACCCAGTCATTACATACCAGGCATTGAGTCCCACCAACATGGACAAAATGCCATCTTTCCTCTAAAGGAGTTTAGAATCCAGTACGGAAGACAGGCCAGTAAGCTCATAGTTCCAAAACACTGTAGAGTATTACACCGGAAAATAGAAGGAAAAGCAGGGTTCAGAAGAGGAAGTGCAGTGTTTCATCTGGAAGGTTTAGAAAAGGATTCATAAAAGAGGTGAAACAAGAGTGGAATTTGATAGGATGAATGTTTACCAGTGGACAAGGAAAATAGGGGCTTTCCATGCAAAGGGAACAGCATGTGCAAAAGTACAGAAGTGTGGAGCAGCATTGTCTATGGGGGTGACCGACTCGGCATGGGAAAGTTGAGGTGGTTGCCAAAAGAAGAGGTGAGAGTGGTTTCGGGAAGTAGTTCATGCAGTTTTCAATGTCCCACTAAGGAGACTGGACTGGAAGTGGTGGGCAATTTTTGAAGTCCCAAGATCAAATTTGCATTTTAGAAATCTCTCTCTGGCAGCTGTGAGGGGGACTGACCAGAGCGGCAGGGGACCAGTTAGAAGGCTGCTGCAACCTTAGCCAGAGATGAGAAGGAGCCGAAATGGGCAGTGGTAGTATGGGCGATCCTGTGTGTGTCCTTGTGTGTTTTCTTACTTCTATTAGGGTCTTGTCTCCTCAACTGCATTTGTAAACTCCCTGAAAAATCCTTCAATTTCCTTTAAAATGTTTCCTTGACAGTAAAATGATAGATACCATATTTCAAATACAAAGTATAGTTATTTGTTGTTTGTTTGTCCTAGAGGTTGGCAGCCTTGCCTAGCTGGCCACAGTGTCTCCAGCTTCTCCCTTACTGCCTGGCACCTAAAAGGGCTCAGTAAATGGGATGGCGCATTCCTGACTCCACTGCCAATTGTTGACTGAGTTGGGAAAGACTTGCACGAAACCAGTCATCCTCTCTCTAAGCCTCTTTCTGACCAGAGAGTGCCCAGGAAGGGTTAGGGACAGCCATTTCCTCTGTGTGCAGTCTTGTGAGGTGGGGGAAGCATGCCTTGGCCTTTTAAAGACAATGCTAATGTAGCCAAGCCAATCTTATAACTTCTGAGTCTAAGTATGGCGTAGTCTCTGTCCATTTGGGAGAATCTCAGAGGCTGCTAATGTGACCATAATTCATATTAAAATCCTTCCATTTACAGCTGCTTTAAAAATAGAGTCAGCATAGTCACTAGTGGGCCCTTCTTCCCTACTCTTACTGGGGATGGCCTGGAGCTTCTCTTACCTTCTGGCCACTTGTTAATTTGGTTCTTGTATCACCCTTAGCCCCCATCGCCAGCCCCACCCTGGGGGAAGTTATTGGACAGATCCCAGCAGGCTCAGGCGCAGCTCCCCGCCTCTGCAGCTGGGGTTATAAATAACCACCAAAGCTAAACAGTCAAATAACCACATTTTGAAGATTGCTTAAAAAATCACTCTGATCCTGATTCAATAGCAGTTCTCCTCCCACCCCTGCCCTTCATCTCCCCCCTTCCTCCACCTCTCTACCTCCCTTGCCTGATCCAGGCTCCCTGGGGAAGGCAATCGGGGCACAAAGCTGTCTTATGATGAAGACATCCTTTTCCATATTTGACAGGGCCAAAGCCCTCCAGGGCTGTAGTTATAGTTACAAGATGTTGTTATGGCAGCAGAGGCCTCGGGGCAACATATGTTCCTCACTGGTAATTGGTTTTTCCTTAACAGACTGTCTCTCCCTGGGCTCTCCATGCCCAAATTCACTTACCAGGAAGACCAGGAAATTGCCATTATGGATGGGCCTTCATTTGTTGATTCCAGCAAAAACCAAATTCCTCCTTATTTCCTGGGGGGGAGTGTACCCAGTAACCATGGGTGCATTCTATAGACATGCAGTCTATAGACATTTAGACTGCAGGCATTTTCATTTATTCATTCAACACATATTTATTGAGCACCTGATATGTGCTAGGCATTGGGTTGGAAGCTGAGGGTACACTGAATAAGCAGACGTGGTTCTTCCCCTCTGTCAATTTAGGACAAGCGTGTATAGGAAGGGGCTAGAGGAGTATGACTTTCACCTGCCCTCAACCCCCTTCTCCTTTTCAGAAATGATTAACCCAGTGTAAAAACACTAAATACATTTTTGAGGAAA